GGCTCTGAGCAACCTTATCTAGTTGGAAACGTCCCTGCTCACCGCAGGGGAGTCAGACTAGATGACCTCTATAGGTCCCTTCCAGCCCAAATGATTCTATGATTCTATGAATGATCTGAAGGAACTAGGAGAAAGTCTAGATGAGTTCATGCACATGGTGGGTGGTTAAGGTGACCTGAAAAAGATTCCTCCCTTCTTTGTAGAGATGGGAATCAAAGCTTGAAGGCGTCTGCTTCAAGGCAAATAATACAAGAATACTACTTCTGAACATACTATAATCTCTCTTACATACTAACAATTTTATTTTTGCCAAGAAAGATACAGGGATCATCTGTAAATAATATTCTCTGCCTGACAGTCTCTTTCTTTCAGCACCATAGCAGCAGAAAACTTCTCAGTGTGACAGATTTTCCACACAGCATCTTTCCTTATAAGCTACAGAAATGTTAATGTAATTGATTTGCAGTTAATGATGAAGAATAAAAGGACCAAGTAACATGCCTGTGGTCATACAGTACATGTGCTTAAGTAGACTTCTGTAGCCAAGTCTTCCAAGTCCTAGGCTAATGACTTGCTCCATGGGCATGCTTTTCCACACAAGGGAGATAGGAAATGATAATGTCATAGTCACGGGAACACGGAAATCACTTTTCACAGAAACGTGAAAAGCAGGTAATACACTGGTAGAATGCTACTTTCCAGGCATGGCACAGTAGAGGAGCCTGTCACCACATGAAGTTGTTAGAGGAAGTCCTTCCTGTAATGCAGAGTTGCAGGATGACATGCCAGGGGACCACACATGGGGACAGGGACAGAAGGCTGGCAAGCCAGTTTTCAGTTCCAAAAAAGGAATCAAGTGCATGCAGCAGAGTCAGAGGATTCAAGGGAAGCATTGCGAAATGCTTGGCTTCTCTCTGCACTTCAAAGTCCCAGTTTATGTCATATTGGATTGGACTAATTTCTGCACTATCTAGTATCCTTTCTCCTAGCTGTGATTGGCATCACATACTGCAGAAAAATTTGTGTCGCATTCTAGACAATAAACACATATGAAATAAATTTACATTTCATAGTAAATATCTGATCCTACTTTTTATAGATTTTTGTTGGTTTTGTACATATTATACCCACTCTGAATCTTGTTAAATTGTTGGCGTTGTTGGTACCTTGAGGCAGTTATGTCCACAATATTGTTATTGGTGTTTTTATTTCTCATTTGCAGAACTGCCACATTTTACTAAGTGTCCTTTGTTTTTTGTTTCCAAAGAGAAAGAGAAAACCAATCCTGATCTATATTTTCTATTTCATCCATTATTTTATAAGCTTTTAAGCATATATTTTTTCTTCATGGAATGATCCAACAAGAGGCATTATATGCATTGATGGTCTTCATATCTTTTTTAAGTTGACGGTTTTTCATATGAACTCTTTTCTGTCTGATTAGGATTGGTACAGATGGTGCCAGATGCTACCACACTAGCGAAGATCCACAGGGAGTCTGGACTGATAGGACCACTGAAAGAAAACACAATTAAAAAATGGTTCCGTCATCACCATGTTCTGGAATCAAGTTACGAAGAGGTAACATCATAATGAAGCTTATTATACATTTCATATTTTACCATGGGGAAAAAAAAACCCAACAAATGGCAGTAAGCAGCGAAACCAAATGACTCAAACACAAGACAGGTCACATGCATAGAAGCCAGGGAATTGATTTAAATGCCACTCTCTTTCTAAGGAGATACTGCTCTGGATCAGGTGCATTGTAATACATTTTCTATAAAAATGTGTCACAGAGATGTTTTGCAATTTAGTAGTAAAGTGAAGAGAAACTGAAGTAGAAATTAAGTATTAAACTAAAAAATATTTATTTTTTAGGTCAGCTCTCTAAATACTTCATTTTTTATAAACCACACAAAGTCTCAGTGGATTTCCTGTATTTGGAAATGTTCACGTCAATACCCACAGTTTTAGAAAACTGTTTTATCAAAACTACCTATTCTATGATACATAAGATCATACTTTTCTTATCACATTGTGGGATCTCATGTAATGCATCTGATTTTCTGAAACTAAACATTATGCATAAGCCAAAAAGTTGGAAATTTTATTTATAGAACCAGAGGTTTCCCGATGAACTTTTTCCATTAATTCTTTGTTGTCTGAGCATGTTCTGAGGCCTGTGAAAAACTCTTTAATGTTTGTGTTGCTGGGACAATTTTTAGAACCCTACTCTGTGCCCACAGTAGATTAGTAGCCAAAATTTTAAATTTAAAGAGGGGCATTGAATGTTTACCACTCTGAAAATGAAGTGCTTTTGTACACAGTTTTTAGTAGATGTATAGCATAAATATGTTTGATAAACTTTAGTAATTTTGTAATTATTCCATAGGCATTTGTTCATCCACATTTTCGTTAAGAACACTTGAATTCCTAGTATATCTTTTTGATTCAATTAAACAACAACAATCTGCATAGAATTATTTTTTTACAAGTTTGTATGTTTACAGTGTTATGGTAGAAGTGCAGCCAATATTTCAATTGAAAAGTGAGATACTATTAGTTCTTGATTGGAAACCTGATTTCTTGCTGCTGCTGCAGTTTATAAAAGTACCATTAATGTGGAATATTCTAAAACCAATTTCTACCAATTTTCTTTCAATTTTTTAAACATATAAAATGCAGTCAGATCTGATTGCATAGGGCATGCATAAAATTAGTACTATGCATTTGCTTTGCACTCGCTAGTGAATGAACCTTTCTCTTTTTTTACTCCTTAATAATCTTTTACTCATACAATACTATATCTAAGGTGCTCAAAAAACTGATGCAGAATAAGCTTTAATATCCTCATTTTGCAGTTGAGTGAACAAAATCACAGAAAGCTTAGATGTTTTATCCAAGGTCATCAAAGTGAGTAAGTACTACACTTAGACATAAAATTCAGCCAACTCTTGTGCTGTGGCCTAAGCTTTCCACAGTGCTGTCATCCATATCTGCCATTGCAGGTGACATCCTGCATCTACAGGGAAATCCTGAATGCCTAAATAATGATTTACCTTGTCTAATTTAGGTTTTGTCCACAAACATAAAAATCACAGATTAGGATTGTTTGGGTTTCTATATAAATTAATTGCATTGTGATTTAGATTCATGGGAGATTAAGATTTCTGAACAAGAACTGGATTTTCAGTTCTTAAACTATAGTAGGTAAGATTAAAGAAAGACAAAAGCTATTCCTTATGCTTTGGGGTAGAAGAGTGTTCATCATTTGATCAGGAATAACTCTCCCCTGAAAGAGGATGCTGAATATGTGTGTTGTGAAAGAGGTTGGGTAGATTCTTCTACTAGGAGAAGTCACAGTTGTTAAATACTTCCCACTGAAGTTAGCAGAAAACTTGGAATCCACCTTTGAGTGTCTGATGAGCAGATCATTAGCCTGTACTTTTTCCTGTCTGCCATGGGCACATTTTTGGCAAAAAGCAATGCCACAATGTAATACTGTAAAAAGATTCATGAGAGAGATCTGAATGAGCCAGTCTACTCACACGAGGCAGACTAACCATGAAAGTACACATCTCTACCACGTAAAAGAGCATCAGAGGAGTAGGTTATGTTAAACAAGTTTTTGATTTAATCACTCTCTTGGGTCTGTCTACACAACACTAGGTTTGATCCTCTAGTCTGTTAAGATTCATGGATGATATGAGCAGAAAACAATTTAGCCTTTCTTTGTTTCAGTTCATTTCTGTGAAATGGGAGTTAATTCTTTGGGTTGGAATATTGTGAGAATTGATTCATTAGGATTTGAGAAAGGCAATGGAGAAAAAAGACCTGTATAGGTACAGAACAGTACAGGGGGTGTAAAATAACCTACTTTCTTTACCATTCCTACAAACACCTGTTAAAATTTTAGCAACATGCATAACATTTGTAGAACTACAATTTTTGGTTTTCTTGTTAGTGTCACAAACAAATATGTCTGTACATTTCCAGTAAGTACTTTTGTTTTACTCACTAGGCAATAAGGAATTTCTTTTATTCCTGCGCTGGCTGGTGTGTTGTTACCTTCATTCTGGGAGTCTGTGATCGACACAGTGACAACATAATGCTGACAAATGCTGGACACATGTTCCACATAGATTTTGGGAGATTTTTAGGTCACGCACAGACATTTGGAAGCATAAGAAGGTTAGTATCTATAGTAACGCACATAGTAAACTTTAAAACAATGTTCTGAAATTTCACAGCCTTATCGACTCCCATGGGAAAATATACAAATGAGATCATGCTGTGGTTTTTCGGGGTTTTTTTAATTTATTTTCTGAATTTTCCAAAACAAAATCTTTTTGTTGTTCACAAAACCTCTACAACACACAGGAATGATTGGAAAAGGAATTAAAAGGAGATGTTGGAGATCCCCTTTCAGTCTAAAAAAATAAAAAAGTCTAAATCCTTGTTTGGTCAGAGATTTGAATGATGCAGTTCAGTAGTGACCAGAATAGTAGATTGACCTATGCCAAAAGAATTCTGATGTCCATTGTTTTTTTTTCTAACAGATGAGTGTTCCTATAATGGATCCAAAACCATAGATGTACGTAATTGACCACTTGCTTCCCATATTCAGAGAAGAAACTAAATTTTCCAAATAGACATAGAGAATAATTACATTATGCTTCTGTGGGTAAAATTGCCAACTTTTTTCATTGTCTTTTGAAGTTTTACATCTAACCACACTGAGTTCAGGGGCTGTTTTGCAAATATCTGATTTTACTTAAACAAGACTGTTTTTTTCTGTGTTTGTATCTATCTATGATGTAACTATGCCGTGATAAATAAAATAGTGTGATCATGTATTCTAGCTCCTAATGTGAACATACTATGGAGGAATGAATTGAGATGGACTAAGGATAGGATAATACCAGTATGTGCAAAACACAAAGAAGCTGTTATAGCACAGTAGAGAATGGATAAATGATCCCTAATGCTGACAAGATGAGTAAGGGGGGGAGGTGTGGGGGTGTCTTTCCTCCATGTTTCCTAATAATTTCCAGAAGTAGTCCCAGAATTAAGTTTGAGATAATTGTTCCTTTCTTGTTTCTTTTCTTTTTTTTTTTTTTTTAAGCTGGCCTTTGACTATTCTAGACTTTCTCAGGGTGTTAGACAGAAATAACAGCATGGGAGTATTGATATGAGGGAAGCTGATGGGGATAATAAGTACTTCTGAGCCAGGCAGTCAAAAGATTTAGTTGCAATGCTCAGAATTATCGTCAATCATTCAAGATATGCTCCCTTAATCCTACTTATTTGCTGTGGAAAGAATAAAGCAGAACAGAGTAATAAAAAAAACCCACACCACAAAACCAAAAACAACTCATGCACACTCCAAGTCAAGTGCTGCATCCCTCACTCCAGCAGACCTCCTTTTGGAGCCTAACAGGAATTTCCTTGAGTGGTAATTTTACATGAGCAAAGAATTATCTAGTTTGAGTGAACAACAGGACAAAGCAAATATAGGGAGGGGACACTACAACCAAATTTAAACAGATATCATGTAGTAGCAATAATAAAAACAGATGTTAATTTTACTGTTTTAGAACTCAGTCACACTACACCTTCTTATTAAATCTATGAAAATTACTTAAAATATAGTCACTTCTATGAACAGCAACCCTTTTTTTCCTGTTTTTTCATGCAGTACATTACTTTTAAATTATAGAATAGAATAATACATTTTAGGACCTCCATTCATGGCGTGCCTTTGTGGTTCCTTAGTAAAACTAGGATTCACACTTAACAGCAGGTTGTGAACATCAAGGGATAATGGTTGTCTTCCTCATACCTACATGCAACTGAGCAGATACTATCTTAATGACTATCATTCTCATGAGTTGTATGCACCTTCATGAAATGTAACGTATTATTTGTAACACAGGAACACAGGGATATCAAATTTCTCCATCCCATAAAATTCAGGCTCTCTCAAAATTTGAAACCCTCAGTGCTATTTGTATCTACTCGTTCCCACAGGGCAAGTCCTGAAATAGATTTAGCCTCTGGTTTCTTTAACAGCTCTTTATATTAGATTTTTATTTGAGTTCTTTGCACCCCCAACAATATCATAGTCTTGAAATAATATTGATAAAACAACAGCACAATGCTTTCAAATCTTTAGAATTATTAGTGCTGACCCTTAGGGTTTTGTACAGTAGATGCTATACATATGCTTGTGAAGTTCTGTAGGTGGCTTTAAAGAATGTAAAATGTAAAATTTTTGTAAAATGAAATCTGTGCAAATGAATGAAGGCTAATAGGAAAGAAGACCCTATCTGAACTTTTAAAATGTTATTCCTTTCAGAATTTAGGAAGCTGCTTGCTACAGCTGTCCATTTTCTGTTCTCAGGGAGCGTTTTTTGCCATTACCGAACTCTTATTCCTCATAAAGCTTCATCAGGTTAAGTCCTCTGCAGTATTCTGCATATGGAGCATTTCTTCAGATGTAAGTAAAGTGAAAGGCATACATGGCAGCTTTGAGAATTGCATGCTGTCATGCATGGGCTGCAGTTCTCTCTATCAAATCCAATATGAGTCTTCAGAGAACCCTTTGAAGCTGCTATGATTCATGCAGTCATGCTCACTTTTGCATTCATGGTTGTATAACACCCCAACAAGGGATTAGTTAACTTTTCTAATTCCTGCCCTCATCTTTAAATGATGTCCAATAAATCTGCTCAGTTTTGAGTCCAAGGCACAAATCAGTAGCTCAGCTCTTACTGAATTTGGAACTTTCTGTCTTTTCCAGTTCCATGTATCTTCACAGTGCAGCAAATATGTTAAATAGTAGTAATAACCTGTCTTTACTTGGGTCTAGGAACTAATGTTTCAGAAGTGTTGGAGGGAGACATATGATGTATCTAACCAGTAGAATAGTAACAGAGCTTGGCAGAGGAATTATTCCCAAAGTCCCACAGGGAACTTTCCTACTGAACCATGAGATTTCTTTTTTTTTTTTTTTTTTACTATCATACTGCATAACACATTTTGTTAGTGGTAATAAAATACTCCCCCTTCCATTCTCTAATCCAACCACCACATTTGACCCTACATTACCCTAAAGCAGTGATTTCTGCAGGTACACTTCAAACTGTATGAAGAAATGTTTCTTATTTAATTTCATGTAACGGTCCTATTCTTTATCTACTGAGTATTCTGTGGCAATCATCTTAGACCCATTCCAGCTTAAATAGGTGTAATAATATCCAGATAATCGTATGGGACTAGGTCAGTCATCAAATGGTGCAGAAGAAGGTGTCTGGCGCATGGTTGTACCTGCCATACTTGCTTTGTTTTTGTTTTCTTCTTTTCAGTTCTGACCAGTTCCTTTTGAACATTTCTTCTTTGGTGAATTAAGCAATAATAGATTTATTTAAATCATGTGCTAACTGAACTAATCCTAACTTCAGCAGTCTCGTCCTCTCCACTACCAGTCACTTCCAGCCCTGTCATCTATATTTTTTCAGTCAATGATGTGTAGTCTGAAACCTGATGTCAAGATATGGAGTAGTCTACCTCATGGCACACTGTAAATACACCTTTTGATAACCTAGGTGTCCATTCTTTTTTTTAAATATCCATCATCCTGATAATTTACAACACTCACTGATCTTACTTTTCTCTGATCTGAATCACAGAGACCCTCTTGTCTTTTTGCCAAACTAATTCCACATCTTGGTGTGCTTTTCCCAGAATTTAAATCTGCTAAGCTGGTTTTCTTCTACAAACTTAATTACTAGAGGCAGCCTAACTATTCCATTGGGAAATTCCAGGTTTTTGAGGGAAGTTTCAAAAATATGGGAAAATTATACTTCCCACACTTTCTTCCTATGTCAGTGTTTTCCTATACTGAAAAGCCCTTAAGAAAGTCTGAGCATGTAGAAAAGTAAAAGTGCCCTTTTTATTTTAAAAGTAACACATTGTATTTTCAGTGTTAATAACCTAAAATGAGTGTTACTGTCTCACTGGAAGTGTTTATTTGAAAATGCATTCTTTTCAAGTGTTTCTTTCTAAAACAGAAAAGTTGACATACAGACAAGGGAAAAATAAGTTATATCTGCATTCTTTGACTACATTGTATCTACATGTGTTCCATCTTTTCCCTAAAAATAGGAAAAAGTGGAGAAGAAGGAAGATAGACATTTGAGAATTTCACATTTTACTTTTTTCTTTTTGCCTTTTTTAGATTTTAGATTTTATTTAGGGTATTCACATCAGGGAGAGTCTAAAACTTGAAAGTAAAAACTTAATGTATAATCACTTGAAATTCCCTCTGCTTTGGGAGATTCACTGCACATGAGTTATTTAAGTGACTCCCTATCAACTTCCTGCTTCAGAGATTTCTTCCTACCTTCTCCCCTTCCCTCCTTCTCTTTCCAGTAGTCACCGTGTGATTTTTTTGTAGAATGTGACTCTAGATAGGAGAGATGGGAGTTTAAAAATGAAACAGAAATAAGAGGGGAAAAAGAAGTGATGTTCACTGGCCATTTTGATTATATTATTTTATTTGTTATCCTTTTCAAAGTGTAACTGTTTAGAGAGACACTTATTTTCTCTTTCCTGCTCCCATCAGAAACATTTTACTGTATCACTTCTTTCTCCAAAAGCTTTCTATACTTACATTTTTACATTCAGAGGGAGCTGTTCTCTTACGCAGTCGAGTGTACATTTATATTCAGGGGAAGCTGTTCTCACACACAGTCAAGTATACATCAAGCACTTTTAAATTAATCTCTGTTGCGTGGTCTTGGTATCTTTTTCTGCTTGTTCTGCACGCTATGCCTTTGTCCTTCATCCTTGACTGGAAAGCATAGTGATCTATTTAATTCATGTAGGATTTCATCCCCTGCCCTAAGGAATTTGTCTGCAATTCCATTTCTTCATCACTGGTTTATTTCTCTGTTTTGCCTGGTGATATACAAATCTCCTGCAACCATCTATTACTGTGTTTTCCAAATAGCCATCTCATACTGAAAAGACTGGTTAGCTGAGTATTCAATAGGTATGAGATATAACCCTACTCGTTCCATTTAATTTAAGGCAACTTTTAGCTCTGAGTTTTAAAATCTTTTTTTCACTACTGAGGGTCAGTCAGAACACAAAAAGCAGTTGTCCAACAGTCTCTGTTAACAAGAGGA